GGGGGGAAACACAGCTACGGGACGCGACGACTCTAGTCGATAATGCGGTTCCATCCGCGCGATCGATGGCCTTTTTTCTTTTTCTTCGCGATTTTCCCGTTAGCAGGTCGCGACCGGTTCGCCGTCGGCTTTCAGGGCCGGAGCTCTCTTTGCGATTCGAAACGGTATCCGCTCGCGTACGCTTTTACCACGAATCTTTCGGATTCGTAATGCCCCGCTATAAATCTCGCGTGGCAAGGGGTCGGGTCGGGGCCCTCGCTCCTCTATTTGTCTTGGATCGGAGCCTTTCCCTTCGGAACCTCCCGCCGGCTCCGAGAGAGCAGGTAAGCCTTGGCGCTGCCTCGGCTCCTTTCGACGTTTACGATATTTAACCGTGTCCTTCTCGGATCCCTATTATTATCCCGCCCCAGGCCCAAAATTAACCCTTAAAATCTTGCGGAGGGACCGACCGATACGCCGAGACCCTGGCCCGGAGGGGTTCCGTGTAACCGGCAATTTACACCACCTTCGATTCCAGCTAGGAAACTTGTAATTTCCGACCGAATTTCGTGCGCGATTCCATCTCTTGCTTGCGAAATTCGAAAGCTACGGTCGTCTCCGAGAGCTCGGAGTGTCGTTTCCGGTACGCTAAGAAGCACGGCTTCCATGGTCAAAATTCGATTTCTTAAGTTTAACGCAACGGAGAAGTTCGCTTCGCGTTGATCCGAGAACCCTTTGAAGCTCTCTGATCCGAATGTATTGGGTTGTCCGGAAAGATCGTGCCGATTTTCGGTAGGTAGCGTGAGAGACCTGACTGAATATATCACAATTATTGAAAACAAATGACATGTGTACATATTCTGAAAGAGATAACTTCAGCCATATTTGGAAGAAAGCTTGGTTACGATTCGTTAATTTTTATCAGTTTTGTACGCCTTAGAATATGGTGGCAGATAAAGTGCATTATAGGCATTTAATGCTTTTCTTTTTCCGAAAGGGCAAAAATGCCACACAAGCGGCAAATAAGATATGCGCTGTTTATGGCGTGGATGCTGTAGCCGAAAGAACTGTGCGGATGTGGTTTGCTCGGTTTAAAGCTGGAAATTTCGACCTTGAAGATCAAGAACGCCCAGGTAGGCCGTCCACCACCGACGAAGATATTAGAACAGAAATCGAGAATAACCCACGCTCAACATTACGTCAATTAGCAGGAATGCTGAATAAATCAAAATCAACCATCCACGATCATACTGTGAAGCTTGGCTCCAATACTTAAATGAGCTGCGTTTTAATTTTCCTAAAAAATCGGCACGAACTTTCCGGACAACCCAATATTATTCGTTTTAGACGATCCTGTGATACCGAGAGGCTCGCGGATGGGTTCGAGCACCTTTTAAAGCGTAATAAATTTTTTAGAACTGGACCGAGTGTCTTGAATTTTGTTTGGATGATTGAAGGACTGGTTCACTAGACACAATGACGGAAATGCTTCTTCTTAATTTTGCTCTCTTATTTGGAACGACAGCAAAAATGAAAAGACCTGGTTTTTTACTTTTTTTTCTATCCGAACCTATGGCAAACGTTTAAAAAATGCCTGTCTTAACCCTTTGCACTCGAGTGGTGCACTCTGAGGCACCACTAAAATTATTGTATCACGTTCCAAGATCATTTTTATCTTAACAAAGTTTACATTTGAAGCATTGTTAAAAGTGTGACTGTTGTACGAGTCATCGGAAGACTCAATTTCATATGCATAAAATGCACTTTGTTATATAAAATGGAAATACTGTAAGTTACAAAAATTATTTTAGGTTTATGATTAAAATAGCTTCGAGTGCAAAGGGTTAAATCTCGGTAACTTATGCGCATGTTAAAAGTTTGATCGAAATCGATTAACTTAGAGTCGAGCTACAGACCCCGAAAGATTTCAAAAACAGCAGATTTCTCACAGTTTTCGGTCGGAAGTGTGAAAAATCGGGACAAAACTGCAATTTTAGCGATCTTTAATTATTTGTAACTCGTGACAACGTCGAACGATTTCGATAAAAATTTTCAGCGTCCGTGTAAGTTGCCAAGATCTACGAAAAGCATTTTTTAAATTTTTATTGCAGGCTCAGATAAGAAAGTTAAAAAACGGGAGTTGCTTACTTTCTTTTGTCATTTCAAATAAGAGCAAAATTAAGAAACAGTATTTCAGTTATCGTCAATTGGATTATTCTCACCATCATCTAAAAATAATTCAAGTCATTTAGCTCAGTTTTTTTAAAAAAGTTATTGCGTTTTAAAAGGTGTTCGAACACTTTTGTGGGATACTGTACATCGTTCTAAATACAAAATCATAAAATTCAAAGTTAAACATTTCAAGCACCAATTATAGATTATTAGAAAATAGGTTTCAATGGCGGTTTTCTACAAATTAACTGGCACACTTGAAGCAATGAATCTAGTTTCGATCATTTTTCAATCCATGTGCAAATCGCTTCGTTGTAACAATTCGATGCTCGAGGAAAGTTTAAAAAAAGTGTACGAAATTCTAAGCATGCGATCTTTTTCATATGAAAGCTTGAAGAATTGCTAAAACGAGGATACATTGCTGTGCATGCTATCGATATAAAGAATAAATTGACACAGTCTTTTGTCTTAAGAATTACGTGAACATGAAATTATATGATACACAATAATATACAATACGGTATATATTTTTGTATCTATAACTAGAACTTAAGCTTACCGTTGAGTTGTTAATCATCATTTATATATTATTATATATGCGAGACACTAAGTACAGTAAATTCTCCCTAATTGTCGCTCAGATTGTACATAAAAATGGACAATCTGAGCGTCAATTTGGGAGAATTTACTGTATGTACTCGGCAAAAATTAATTAGAGATGCAGACTGTGGTATATTTTACAAATTTATGAATATAAATTTCTAACATTTATGAACATAAATTTCTAACATTTATGAACATAAATTTCTAACATTTATGAATATAAATTTCTAACATTTATGAATATAAATTTCTAACATTTGAGTATACTAATTTATGATCAAGGGAGTAGTGTATGCTTTACCAGAAAAGAACTCCATCGCGTAGGGCGGCCGGAAGCCCTGTCGCACAGTTTATTAATTAAGATATTCCAACATATTACAACCTTAAACCTTGATACGAGGCTGAAGTCATATTGACCAGGGGAAGCGAATTCTCAGAGCATTGTGCGAGGGCAGGGATTCCGATCCGCGAATCGAAACGTATTTTCTGTTTAACGGAAACTATTGTAACGCCGTGCAGCTAATCAATTACCTTTTGAAACGGCAGCAGGCGCAAACGAGACGAGACGAGACGAGATGAATAGCCGGGCGAGATAGGTCGCGCACGTGCGCCGCTCGCTACCATCAGCGACGCATTGCTGCACATAACGCTTTCTGCCACGGAAACGCAACAATCGATTGCCAACCCTGCCACGGGGAATTTAATCCATACAGGGTACACACGGTCGCTGTTTGCGAAATCACCGGCACGATCGGTGGTCCACGCGCTACAATGCCGAAATCACGCCAGCGCGTATCTGCGGCGCGCGGATCCGCCGATTTTTTTCGACCGTTTCCCAGCAGTTTTTTTTGCGCCTATGACGGAATCGGCAACGTGAATCGGCCCGCTGAAAAATACATGCCCGAGCAGATTCTTGTTACCGCGCGATCCCCCCATCCCCCCTGTCCAGAGCTTTCCTATTTTATTTCTTTCGCGTCGATTTTGTCGGGCCGCCGTGTTCCCGTCGTTGCTTCGATACGCGGGCATCGACGTATACAATGCGGTTCGTTTAATTTGCACGACCGAACGTATTTGCGCGGCCTCTGCGTTCGTTCGACGCTCGTCCCGCGAACGGCGAACTTTTTTTCAGCTATAATCGTTGCCCGTACCGGCGATCAAAAACTAACCAGATCGGCGGCTGCGTGCTCGCGGAATCGAGTTGCAGCCCACGATCGGCGAATGACCTCTCCGTACGTTTCGTTCGGTCAACCGTCCGAAGTTTATTGTACAGATAATTTCGAGTTGAAGCAATTTATAGTAACTTTGGAACTTGTTTCATTTGTGTCGACCCAGAGTCTAGCTGCGAGCGTCGAAACATTTAAAGAACTGCAGATTTCTTACGGTCGTGGATTAAAATTGTGACGAAACTGCGATTTTTGTCATCTTTAACTCTCGTAACAACGTTAATCGATTTCGATACAATTTTAAACATACGAATAAGTTACCGAGATGCACGAAAGGCATTTTTTCAAATTTTCGTTACAAGCTCGGATAAGAAAGACAAAATACGGAAGCTTTTAATTTCTTTTTGTCATTCCAAGTAATAACAAATTTAAAAAAATAAGCATTTTAGTCATTGTATATTAGCATACTATTATGTTATATACTATTATATATATGTTATATACTATTATGTTAACACCGCTAAAGGATGATACATGAGGAGATTTGAAGTAACTTTTTCCTTTGCGCAAATGCAATCCGCGGCTTCGTTTACGAGTTATTAACGAAAAACACTGACCAATGGTAGACGAGCTCGGCTGACGCGCGGCGGCCAATCCAATCAGCGGAACTGTGCTTCGGCCGTCCGTTACCTCGGTCGCCTCGCACCAGCTGATCTCGCCTCTCATTGGTCACCGTTTTTCGTTAATAACTCGTAAACGAAGCTACGGATTGCATTTTCGCCGAGGAAAAAGTTACTTCGAATGACCTCAGGAATCACCCCTTTCCGCGTGTTAACATAATGTACGACCTTTTCTCGTCCTTAGGGGATGCAAAATATGATACCGCAGTTTGTTCACCTATTTCGGAGTTATTTATAAATTAGATTTCGTATAGATTGCATAATCTAAGAGGCATAAGTCAACATTTTCAAAAATGTCGCGTCTACGCCACTACGATTCTAATCCAGTCAATTGTTTCGCGGTACATTAGAACGACAAATTCCGGCTAGTTTTCTTACGTAACACGCGCCTGATATTTTGCAGTGGCAACGGCGTTCGGCCAGGACGGCGACCTATACTTCTCGGTGAGCCCTGCCGACCACTCTGTCGTCGAGGGATCCCCGGTTCGTCTGAGATGCGAGGCTCTGCCTACCTCGCGCGTCAAGTACTCCTGGAAAATCGACGGGCAGCCCCTCGCCCCAAGTCCCCGACGGCATCTGGACGGCGGCGACCTGAGGATCACGAGGGTCAACCGGATTCACGACAGCGGAAGCTTCGTCTGCGTGGCAACGCACGAGGAGAACGGATACTCCATCGAGAGCTCGCCGGCCAATATCAACATACAATGTGAGTTCCTCGCGACTTTTCTGATTTCCGTGAAATCGGCGACGGTATCTCAGACACCGTCGCGCGCGAATTATCGTACACTCCCCTCCGATAGTGTCGGAACGCCTACAGAAAATTACAATAAATTCGAGAAACCGACAGGAAGCTCGTTGTAATTTCTCCGATTCATTTTTAAGTTAATCGATTTGGTTATTTATTGAGTCGGTTATTTATTTCGTCATCCGTTTCAATAGCTTCTCTTTTTGTTATTTCCGTTCCCATTTGGTTGCACGCATTTTGTAGCACGTTCCACGTACTATGAAAACGCGTGAAACGAGGTCAGCATGCGTTTTCGATGAACAATAGAGGGTGTCCCGAAAATGTCGTGCAATCCGGAAATGATGGGTTCCTGAGGTTATTTGAAGCAACTTTTTCCTTTGCAAAAATGCAATCCGAGGCTTCGTTTACGAGTTATTGACGAAAAACGGCGACCAATGAGCGGCGAGATTCGCTGGCGCGAGGCGGCCGATCCAGTCAGCGGAACTGGGATTCGACCGCTCGACCGCTGGCGCCGTAGGCTCGGCAGCCGAGAGGCGAGCTCGCCTCCCATTGGTCGTTGTTTTTCGTGAATAACTCGTAAACGAAGCCGCGGATTGCATTTTCGCTGAGGAAAAAGTTACTCCAAATGACCTCAGGAACCCTTCCATTTCCGAATTACGAGACATTTTGAGGATGCAATTTTCGGATGGGATTTTTGTATGCGACGAATGGACAAACTGTTTGCACAAGCGACAAACATTTACAACTTGATGCGTACTCTCTACGATACGACGCCATAAAACGCGCAGACATAACCTAAACCGATTGGTGAAAATTAAAATTTACGGCGAACCAGCAGGTGTCCCGATACTCTCAGAGAGGGGTGTACGCGCGCCGTCGTCGACTACAATAGAAGCATTTAGCACGGGCGAGATCGGCGCGATAATCGAGGCCGCGTTTCTTCGGCGATTTTTTTAACGAGCCGCGCGCACTCCTACGCCGGCTCCCGATTAAGAACTTTTGCGATGGAAACGAGCGGGTCTCGCGGTCCCGTGTTCAACGGAACCGTTAAACCGATGTATATACGGGCATAATCCGGTGGTTCACGCTCGCGTTGCTTAATCGACAAAGTACGAGCGAAACGAAAAAAAAGGGTGCGGCGCGGGAGGAGGAGGGGGAGGAGTAGGAATAGTAGGAGGAGGGCCACGAGGAAGACAGTTTCCCGACACCGTCCCTCGGGGGGAGGCGGGGAGAGACAAAGCGTCGACACGACGGATTTCACCGCGGCTACGTTTCTCACGGCACTTTTTAATCGCCCTTTCTTCGCAAAAACGCAGATCAAACGGCTTCGGCGCTGAAATTACTTGGCGTTATGGAATGATCTAGCCTCGTGGATAGACGATCGTGGTTCCGGATGGAGGAGGGGGGGGGGTGGATGAAAACCGTGGATCGATATCGAAGAGAGAACGCGAAAATCGCTTATGGCTTAGCCGGCGCGCCGCCGGTGCCCCGTTTCCATCCAATTATTCGCCGGTGTGACGTTAATTAACCATGATAATTTAGCGTGGATTCGAGCCGGCCAATATGGCCACCAGTCAATACGCGGCCCGCCCCTGGCTAAGCACGTCCGCGTTTTAATGATTCGAAAACGGTGAAGGGTTGGCGGCACGGGAACGCGAAAAATAAATCCGACGTCGACGACGACGACGAACGGTGACGACGACAACGACGACCACCATGAGCGTCGCGCGACGGGTCGGCGCGGGGTCCGCGGGGCGAGCGGGAACGGTGAAACGGTCGAGAGGTAGCGAGGAGGGAAACAGGCAAAAAAAAACGAGAAAGAGAGAAAATATATAATGTTACCAGCGAGCGGTGCTCCGATACCCGGCAACGCCGGCGTATTTTTTTATTTGTACCTGAAAACGCGTATAAAATGGGTGGTTTCCGCTCGCAGGACGAGGGAGGCCGGGAGCTGAAGCAACGGAGGGGGGGAAAAGAAGGAAAAAAAACAGCTTGCCCGCGGCGGTGGTTGCGGCCTGTAGGGGAGCGTGGATCGCGGTTGGCGCGATATTGAATGAATAATGAAGAAATTTGCGAAAAAAAAGTACATATTATTAAATCCTGGGAAACGTCGAGAACGGGAGAAGAAGAGAGAAAATAGTGGTGAAACGGTCGCGGCGGCCGCGGGGAAAGAGCGAGGAAAGAGAGAAACGACGCCGGGGCGTCGTTAGCGGTCCCGCACCTCGTTATCATGTATCGTTTCGTAATTATTATTACACGTCGCTGCCAACCCGGTGAAGTGCACCGAGCCACGAGTACATTTAGCGCGTGCTTAATACCCGTCGCCAGCTCGATTCCTTTTGATAATTGCGATAAATATAATAATGATAATGACGATGGGACGTTTTCTTCGGATCGCGTCGCGACGCCCGGCGCGCCAGCCCGCTTCTCCACCCTCTGTATACCGCGGACGTCTCGCCGTTCCCGCAATTTCGACGTTCGCTTTCGATTTGCGAGTTCGCGATACCTTGAGACGAGCGCGAGACGAGCGCGCGCGCGACGACCACGTTCGCGTCGAGCAATTAGCCCCTTATATTCCACGCTGCCGTTTAACACCGGTGAGATTCGCCGTGACACCGCGGATACGTATCGGCCGGTTAATTAAGCGGCTACTGATATCGGAGACGCTTCCCGGCTACGGTAATTACACGGTCGCGCCAGTGTTGCGAAGACCATGGCTAACAGAGGATCGGCCGGGTCGTACGGAATTGAAAAGGGCAAACGCTGGTGAACGTTGTTAATCCGTCGACGAAACGCGACGGCCAGATATACGGCGAATTCTCCCTAATTTTCCTTCAGCTTGTAAACAAAAATAGAGAAGTTCGGCTTGTTTTCGTAATTGTTGACAATAAACAATCATAAAAATGAGTCGTGAGGCGCGAATAATCGTATCTGCTCTTATCCAAATTGTCCATTTTCGTTTACAAGCTGAAGGACAATTAGGGAGAATTTACTGTATTTGAAAAGTTTTGAAATTTTAGAATGTCGTGCATGGTTGTTGATATGTATTAGGATGTCTCAGTATCGACGGTACAACTGGAGAGGGGAGGGAGTAATTCTACATAAAAGAACAAATCAAAATTAATGACTAAAATTGTTTCAATCGTGGCTTCGTTTTCGCGAAAATCTACTTTGAACGTTCAGAATTTTTAATATTTTTTTGCATTAATAAAATTAAGTTAGTAATTAAATTACTAAGTATATACTAATACATACTATGTATAAGTGGTATATTGGCATTTATCGAGATCCATCCATGTAAATTCTAGTTACGTGTACGCGTACATCTTCGTGGAATATTCAAAGTTGATTTTGTCGACATCGAAGCCTCAAATGAAAAAAATTCTATTTCTTGTTTTCGGTTTGCTTTTTCACGTAGAACAACCCCCTTCTCGGTTACACCAGCGATACTGGGACACCCTGTATATGCCGTCAAACGACCAAAATTAACACTTCGACTGCCTCAAGAATTTCGTAAAATGAAAGTATTTTATTCGAGCAATTTAAAACTGAAAAGCTAACTTATACAGCATTAACACTAGATTTACGGAGCACGAAAAACAGTTGTTTCATATTAGTTTATAAAAGTAACAATAACACATTTATTCCGATTTTTAACGAGTGTTATTGTAACATTTATCGTAAGTAACATATAAATTGATTAAATAACTTATAATAAATGTTGTTTATATCTTTGTATCTTTACGATACGAATAATCGTAAATTAAAAAACTAGCGGATCCGTCGTTTTGACGGGTTCCGTAAATCTAGTATTAATCAGTTTGTCAACAATCTTACGTTTCGTAGATCCCGATAAAATTAGGATGATATAACAGATTAGGGTAAAATTTAATTTTCAAATCGGAGAGAATCAATTTCGGAACATTTATCTTAGGGAAAAGGTTCCACTGTGCTACGATATCTCTTAAAAGCACTCGGGCATACTAAAAAGAACCGCCTTATCGGTTAGGGTTAAGGAATGCTCGCGTTCGCTCGCTATCTTCCTCGTGCCAGCCGACGAATGTCCGATGACGCATGCGTCCTTATTGTTTGGGTCGCGTCGCGGAAACGAAAGGGTTCGAGGATGTTTTCGAGTCGAGAGAGGAATTGCGACGTGATTCGGTTCTAGCAGAGGTCGATAACGGCTAAAAATTTTCCGGGTGAGAGCGCCGTAATTAAGTAGCGCGGTTTCGGCGACGAGTAATCTAGCAATATCGAGAAACGACGTCTGCCCCTCGCCACCACCCTTCCCGACTTTCCACCCTCGAAAGGTCGAGCGTCTGACGAGTGATCTCTCGAACACGCTCGGCGATGACGAGCTGGCCCGCCGTGAATATTCCGTGTGCCACGCCGTGAAAACCATCCCTTTCCCTCTTTTAATTTTCAACCCCTCGGCTCGCGGCCACAGAAAGCCGGGCTACGAGGGACGAAAGGAGGCACGGGGGTAATAACACGCCGAGAAGGATCCTTTGTCCAAATAAAAAAATAACATCTCGCTTCGCGACGAGGAAGGAGCCTCGCTGCGATACGCGACAATGGATAGGAAGTTGTTCAGCCCCGAGCTACGGCAACTGCAACTGCGACCGCCTCTGCGAGCTCCGGCTACGGCTGCGACTGCGGAGGGAATCGGTGAAAGAGAGAGAGAGAGAGAGAGGGAGGGAGAGGGAGAGAAAGAGAGCGAAGAGAGAGAGAGAGACGAGGGGCTGAATTCTCGTCGACGCGTATCTTCGGCTTTACGGGAGAGATTGTATCTGATTTATACGCCGCGCGCGTAGATTCGAGCGCTCGGTTTCCTGCGCGAGCGAGACAATATCGCGTAAAGATGGAGGACTTCTATGAGACAGTGTTTATCGAATTTCCCGTGTTCCGGGCGTTGATCGCCGCCTCTGCTTGTCCGGCGGAACACCGTGTTCGCCAAATCC